CGAGGGCCGCCGGCGCCCGCGCGGTGAGCAGCACACCGTGACACAGAGCGATTTAATGTGACGCAGCTGCACGCTGAGAGAAACATCCTTGCCTCTTTGCAAAGTCTCAGCACAATAAATGTTCACCCGGCTGGCCCTCCTCTCCGTCGCCAGGCCACAAGCTCGGGGTTATCAGCGCACTCGCAAAACTCCTGTTGCTACAAGCTCATACGCTTCCCTTCTGCACATTTATCAGCCAGTTTAAGCATCCTTCTGCTCCCAGTGCAAACCCAGACCAAGCTCTATCCCAAATCTGCTCCTCCCACCACGCTCACAGGGACCCCCAGTTTGGGGCTGCCCCTTTGCCCTGCCCCTCTCCGACACCCCACAGTGACCTGTTCCACTGCAGGTGTCCCTGACCCTCTCGTCTCAAACGCCGTCTCATCTCATCCTCCATCTCCAGCCCTTCAAGGGCCGGTGCTCCCGGTGACACAAGGAAACCTGCAGGACCGATTCCCTGCCCAGCTCAACGCATCTGCTCTCAGGGAGGCCGAGCACGACCTGGAAAAGCAGCTCCTGTTGCTGGCTTCGTGGGAGCGTGTTTTGTTTGTTGTGCTTGGGGTTTAATTGCAAAAATAAACCTGCTGCAAAACTCCTGGCTGGGCTTCCTTCTGCTTCAGGTCTGCCAGGCTCTTCCTGCCAGTTGCGTTTCCCTGTGTTTTCCTCTCCTTTGGGGTTAGCCCAGGAAAAACAGGACCCCTGCCTGATCTCTGCCCCAGGCTGGTCCTCCCCGTCCGGCCCTCTCCGCGGCTCCTGCACTGGCTCTGCGGTGCCCAGGGGACATTCCCGCCATGGCAGCAGCGGAAGGTTTCCCTTTGGAGCGGGGGACGTGCCCAGCACCGCAGCAGGTCAATCTGACGTTCTTGCCCATTTGCTTCCCGGGGACACCACGGTCCCCTTGTCCCCTTTCCAGCCACCCAGTGCTGCTCACCACCCACGTCACCCGCCACGCAGGGTCCCGGCTCGGGCTGCGCTTTAGGGTTCCCCTCTTCCTGATCGCGGGTTTTCTGGTGCACTTGGGTTTTCCCTGCAGCATTTGCTCCCCGAGGAACCTCCCTGTCCCAGTGCTGCCAGCCCGGGCTCACGGCTGTGAATGCCATTAGCAGGACCTGGGCCTTTCGGGACACGGGGACACGGCTGAGCTTGGGACGCGGCCCTGGGGGTCCTGGCACCGGGAAGGCACGTGGGGCCTGGGCAGGAAGAGGGGCTGAGAGCCCTGGGGGCTGCTGGTGACAG